TCAGAGGGATTATGGTTCGAAGATTTTACTCAACAAGTATAATTTGATTAAATAAACTTAAAAAAAGAGAAAAATAAAGATGATGAAGAGTCTAGAGGATTAGGATTTAAGAGAAGTCAAAGAATGGATTCATCTGTGACATTGCAAACGATTTTGAGCCATGTCTCGCAGACCCCAACCCCGTAGTCTATACTTAACAACATGACTCAATTCAATTGTCAGTGACTTCATGGGTTTGAGCCATGTTTTGGTTTGGCCACCCGTAGCTTTCTTCCAACATACTCCTACAATGCAAAACATAGCTCTTCGAGGCAGTCGGTGGTTGGGCATACATAACACATGTCCCAACCGTTTCAGCTGGCGGAGTTTCAATAATTCATCTATTGATCTGCTATCCGTACCTAATACCCGTTTACTAACAATAGCATTGCCTGACTCAGTGGTCCCAAGATATACGAGCAATACTTCAAAGACATTTATGATCAAAAACCAGTACCAAGTATCCTTTACTCTGACTGGCCATGTTTCACAGCTATAAGGTAGGAGGGAGCGAATTAATCCGCAGTAGACCTTTGATTAGAGGAGACGGATATCTCGCCTACCCGTCATAAGTGACACAAGATGGTAAAAGCCGAAATCAATGTGATGGAGTTTCATTCTCTGAGCTGGATGTTTTAGTTGTGGAGCTTTCATTGTTCTGCTTCTGGACAACATCATCAGCAGAAATTTCCGAGAGAAGTGAAGTATTCGAATTTCTCCGCGTTTGAGATCACAATTTTTACTTACTAGACTGACATTTAGTGAATGGCATGTTTTGGATTGATACCAAGACTTAGTGTTTAGAGTTACATCGTTTCAAATAACACTCTACCTACTACCCTACACTACCAACAATTGGGAAAAACAGCTACTTTTGGTAATCACTAGAAAAAACCTGACTTAACACATGCAAGCTACCAAGCGGTAGATCTAAAAGAGGCTCTTTGATGTATTTTGAGTTTACCTGAGTGCTATTAGAAACCTAGAAACCATCATATCTATGGTGGCATAAGGAAAACATCAAAATTTATCATAATTTCGGTTTATTTCGTGATTATTTTGCAAACATATTTTTAAAGTCTCTTGTACTGGATATACTTTGTTCATCTATTTAAGTTTGTGCATTACAGTTCAGTCAGTCAGTCAGTTGCAACGTAGAACTTCGTACGTATGTACATAAGTTCATGTTGCCATACCACATTATTAGCACAGAGACGCAAATGTCAAATCAAATCACATAGTGATAAAGATAGTAGAGGTATTAATGTTAATAATGAAAACTAGGGTTCGAAGATATTATTCAAAAAAATATAATTCAGTGAGATAAGGTTAGAAAGACAAAGGTAGAGGTGCTGGCTAATCCAGAAGATTAGGATTTGAGAGAGCTCAAAGAGTGGATGCACCTGCGCCATTGCAAACGATTTTGAGCCATGTCGTTCAAGGTCTCTAACCATTGATGACTTTCGTCTCGCGGACCCCAACCAGGTAGTCTACATCTACCAACATGACTCAGTCCACTTGTCAGTGACTTCATGGATTTCTGCCATGTTTTGGTCTGGCCGCCCCTAACTTTCTTCCAACCTACTCCTACACCACAAAACATAGCTCGTCGAGGCTGTCGGTGGTTAGCCATACGTAACACATGTCCCAACCACCTCAACTGATGAAGTTTCACCACTTCATCTATGTGCATTACAGTTACTTGCCGATTATCATTTTTGAGGTTGTTTTTCTTTTCTGTTCGCTCAAGCTGAGGTAAGTCAGATCTCAAAATTATTAATGTCTGAAACTGACCGTGGAGTTTAGCTTGATTTCATATATAATAATGACGCCTTTAAGCACAAATATGGAGATACCGCATACTAACACGTATACATCAGTTTAAGTTACTATACCCCATTAGACCAGAGAGATAAAATTGTCAAGGTAGTCAGATTAATAACAGTATTAGTGGTAGGAGAAAAAATGAGCCCGGAGGGATGATAAAATCTGGGTCTTTGAGAATGATCTTGATCTTGAGTAAGTCAAAATTTTTAACTCGGACTCCAACCACCAGGTAGCCTGTATGTATTTACATAGTTTAGTTTAATACCATCTAAAACACAAGAATTTGAAAATTCGTGCGATATTACATTGAAAAGAGGTTAATCAAAACATTGCAATTACCTGGCCAGAGTATGCACCCGTTCAGTATTACGTTGCATAGGTGTAATACGATTACGCAAAAGAGTAACAGCAGGCATTACTTCATTGGCTTCCAGATGTTCTAGAAACTGTTGTTCTAATACCAAAAATCGAACTTCTTCAACACTATTCACATCCCCTATCATGGGTGCTAACTTGTCTATTGCAGCTTCAGCCTATTCGAATGATGAATGGACAATCGATGTAATGGAATTGTTAATTATACATACATCTTTTAAAAAGTCAAAATATTAATTAGAAAGGACAAGGAGATAGAGTATGCCATCAGTACGACTTATCTATGCAAACTTTAAAGACAAAAACTCAATTAACTAAAAGTCAGTAGTTAACTGTGGAAACCGATCAAGAGTAGTTTACAATCCGATCGAACATTATAGAGAACCTTCCTTAATATATCAATAAGATAATAAGGTGATTAACCATTCACACCAGATAATTAGTTTGCTAGTGTAGAACGAAAGCTTTGAAGCTATCATCAAAAATAATGTTCAAATTTGTACAAGAAGTTTAATTTATCGACGACTGTTATTGCATGTCTTCACAAAAGACGAAGATGGCCAGTATAACGCTCTAGAAATTGATACATCGGACACTGATTTCCTAAAATGACTACATTTATTTAACTTAAGGTTCCCGGTGATTGTGGTTTCAATTACTGGATACCTTTATCAATATCCGTCAAACGTGCTCAGACATTAGAGTTCACAGAACTCAGCTTTTAAAGATATTGAGCTTTCGGAGTGTAGCTCGTAAGATCAGTGTGGCAGTGTGATGTAAAGTCTGACCAGATATACAACAAAACCAGAAAACTTATTAAATCGATACGCTTAATTAGGTGGAAGCATAACTAGAGTAAGTTTCAAACAGTATCAGGAACTTTCTATATGAATATCTTAGTTGTATTTAAAATAAAAAAGTTGACAATTGCTAGGTAATTCATAGGCATTCAGGAAATATTTCAAAAAATGCAGGTGGATGATTCTAAGCATACTAAATACTTAATTCTCCTACGCAGTGGTCGTAATCACCTGTTTATAGTTAGTAACAACCAAATCATAATTGGTGGTCTAGACAGACGAGTTCCGTTGAAATTCTAACTAAAAGAAGTAGATATAGTGACACTTTGAATGGTAACTCCAGATTGACGTCGGTTTTTCCCATCAACTACATCGAATACGGTGTGCGATTGAAAACCATTTTGAAGTTGATCTATAGGGTCATATCATTTATGAACCATACCAAATTCTCAATACAAAATGTTTATTGTAGGGATACTGCAAGAGATTGACTTACATCACACCATCTACCTTCCAAAATAGCGTGACGTAACTCTGTTGCATCGTTGTGCTCCAAGGTGATACCAGACTCTCTGGAAAGCTGCGTATATGTGCCACTAAAGTAGGTGTCAATATATTATGTGTCATACTTAAATCCCTTGTCACAGAGATATTGGCCTATAAGGCGTAGCATTTCCTCATCACGAACTGAAAGGATCTTTGATCTAGTAATAACGTAGTCGTTCTTAATTGCAGCAACGCCATTGAATTGGCCATATAGCATATCACCATTTTGCTCCAGCATAACTTCAACCTATGGTGGACTACAGAAAGTCCAACCAGTGAAATAGGATGTACGATGAACTGGTAAACCGTCAGTCAACAGCTGATCCGAATTCCTTTGTTAGTTTAAACGAGTGTCGAGTGTTCAATACCTAGTTTCGTTTGAAATTAGCTTAACAAATACTGTGAAAAAAAGTGGTAAAAACGCACAGTTCTTAGGCTAATATAAACTGTGAACCAATATAAACTTGAAGCGTTATTCCCATTAGCTCGTAACTCAAAGACAGTTTTGATTTTTGTGATTCGCTTTTTTGTCCAGTAAAGACGGAAGAAATGGAGGCCTAGGGTTTTATTTATCAAGAACCTCTCAACAATGCAGTAATGCTTTAAATGGATCAAGGAAAGTGATTGTCACTATACATTTAAGCTAAGTTACTCTGTGACTCCTCAACTCTAATACCAGCAGTTAGACCCCGATCCGCTAACTCTGAATTAGTGGACATTTTATATACTCCCAGAAGTTGCCCTTGTAATCAGTTACTTTAAGTTAATCAAATTATCTGTGACTTCTCTAGTAGATTCCAGCTACTAAAACGCTGTTCCCGAAGGATGAACAGTTCATCAACTCTGTCTAACAAAGTTGAACTTAAAGTTACGCACGCGCACGAGATCACCTTTGGGTATGTCGCGCTATGTATCTCATTTGCAACTGCTGGCCGGCCTAGGTATCATGATTCTCAGCATATCGATCACGTACCACACGTATCTCCAATCTATTCCGTTCCGACTTTTGTTTGGCTCAGTTAGAGAGATGTTACCAACAAAGCGTTGTCAAACCACGAGCACACATAGCATCTTCATTAGTGAGGATTGTTTAATATAGTATGCTAAGTGAAAAATTACCTGTTCTTTATTTAACGCTATATGTATGCGTGATTTCGTGTTTGTTTTCAGACTGCTTCCAGTTTTCATATGCTTTTTTATCATGTCCGGGAATAACTAAAGAAGATTTGGATTCCAACAGCCATCTTCTTACTTCTAACTCAATTCTGGTTTGACAATATTGAAGCCTGGTTCTGCTCTTCAGAGGTAGATTTCACCGCGAACAGTGAGGCAGAGTGATGCGTGCAAAGTTGTGGAGACACTATCGCCTGAGTGAACGGAAGTTGGTTGATAGTAATAGTGAACTGTCTGTTAGTTGAGTCCCATTCCCTGGTTCTAGGTAATTCTCGGTCACGATCACACACGTTATTTATGGCTTCTTCCAAACAATAATCGACAAGTACCTGAAGCTGTGAGAGACACGATTGTGGGAATGTTAATCATTACATCACGTCGAGAGTACTACTTCTATTCACAAAAGCTTGTCAGCTAGCTCCGGGAAAGATAATAATGGTAAAAATCCTGTCGTAAAGCAACCCATTGCCATTCCCGTTTCAGTAAATCCCTAAATAGAACAGAAATGACTGGCGACCAAGCAGTGAGTATCAGCGACCTAATAAGCCTAATCATTACTCGATGCTGTATATCCCAAGCTTAGCAACAGCCTTCTCAAAAATAGAATTCGTTATAGAGTCTATTTTGAAGGTTTTGTTTTTTGGAAAATCCCTCCATGTATATATATTTGTGTTATGATTTGACTGACTCTTTCTGTTGACATTTCGGCACTGTATTTGATTCCATTTTGAGATCTTATCATTTGCATCTTGTTATTATTTCTATATCATGTACTTATATTGAAGTTTACATGTCTCCTTCTGAACTGTACATATGTTGTTTAAATTTGATATTTAATATGGCTACAGCCGTTTTTGGATTTGATACTCTAGCAGTAACTGGAAGCACTTATTCTTCCAGAAACGGAACCTATTGTGGTAATTGGAAACTCGAAGGTGCAATATTGTTTTGATATTTGTCTGAATTTCCACTTTTCATTAAATACAGAATCGTTCTCTGCCAGAATTATCGTATTTTGGTCTCGGACTGGGTGAAACGCGTATGAACCTGCACTATTCGAGCCGGAGCGAACCGCAAGAGTAATTATAAATTAATAATCACACCCAACATCAAAACAGCATCTATGGGCCTCCGAATCGATGTTGGAGCACCTACAATTGGAGAGATCAGTATGGCTATCAGACAAATCAAGAGTGGTGAAACAGCAGGACCAGAAAACATTTCAGCAGAGGCACTGAAAACGTATATATCATAAGTGCGAAATTGTTGCAAGCTCTTTTCAGCAAGATTTGGGAGGAGGAATAAGTATCAACAAACTTGATATGAGGATATCTCATTAAGATACAGAAGAGAGGAGATTTCAGCAAGTGTAAGAACTACAGAGGCGTAAATCTACGCTGAAAACCAGGAAACGTTTTCGACAGAGTCTCTTTTTCACGAGATAATGTAAACCAATTTGATTTCTTCGCGTTCGATTCTTGTTCTTTCAGTACGGTTCCAGGTGTTCGGTTATGTCCTGTAGTGTGTCAGTTTACTGCGTGTTTTTAAGCTCGGTAATTAACTCGTTCAGACAATCGTTGTCAAATAGCGTCTGACGGTTTATAAATCAGAAGATGAATTCGTGGTGATGAATACATTTATTCGGGACACACCACAAAGCGAAGCGGAGAAGCAGTGAATAAATCGAATGAAGCAACGTGAACTGGAGAAGGGTTACAATGCGAACGAATGGGCGAAGCGAATTGGAGAAGGCTAAGAGCCAACTCAAAGAGATAGAACATGACTAAGAATATAGAGTGAGACAAAAATAAGGCAGACATATGTCAAGCGAAATAGGCGTGCACACACATGAATAACAGTGATGAATGATTGACAAGGTCAAGTGACAAGTGGGACATGTCATGTGAGCTCATACAAACCCGACAATAATAAGAAGGAATGGTACTTATAAATTGTTGCTATGCAAATGGATTGGTTGAATAAATTAATCGAAAGGGCTTAACCAAGTGAGATGTAAGCAAACTGGAATATATGTGGAGGCACTACAGTCCAATGGATGGAGGTCTAGCCACTCGACTGTCTAATTCTAGTCAGTCGGCAGTTGGTTGTGAGTTTGTATGTCTCGAGATTGGAGTGAAACGTTTGTTTCAGGGCAGTAGGGTTTCTGGATACTAGCAGTCGTCACATTACCGAACCGGAGATCAGTTAGTTGCAATGTGGAGAGTAATAAGGGTAATAAGGATAAAATTCTAATGATAATATGAATAAAATTTCAGAACTGAGTAATATATAGATGAATTTAGTTTATTAATTGGTTGTGAGGATTGTGAGAGAGGACCGAAGTGTAAGCACAGTAGAGGAAACAGAGATAATAGGCGAGATAGATTAATTGAGTGATCTGAGGAAATGGCAATGGTAACAACTAGCAGGTCTCAAGATATGCATCATGAACAGCTTGTCCAAGAGGGAGATGATAGTCCGTATGTGAGTACGTGATTATCAAGTCTCTTCTTATCGCAGTCCACTGAGGGGGCTGTGGTTACCTCACCTGGGAGAGCATTCCAAGTTGCGACGACTCGCAATGAGAAAACGTGTGCACGAATCTGAGT